TGCCAGCTCACAGTGAGAACATCCAAGTCACTTCAGAAATAGCTGCATTTCTTCAGCCAAATATTGTGTCAGTTCTTTTCTGGTGTAGAGAAGTCAGAAGGTATCACTTTGAGTAGTCCCAGCCAAAATCATGCGATAGCATTGGCACTGCATGCAATGCAAAGCCAGAGAGCTACTCTATAATGGGACAATGGACATTCAGTCACTGCAGTTTTTATTGCCTAAAGCACAACACTGAGATGCTACAGAACTCATTTCAGCAAACCAAGGATGAAGGTCACACACACTGCCAAGTCCTTCATCCACAATCATGCATCCATCAACAATTCATGCATCCTCACAGCTAAGTATGAAGTGAAGCTGTAGTCCTTCTACCTGGGCTGAGAGCCACAGGCCTCCAGCCCAGACCCAGTGAGGTGAAAGAACAACGCAACATGGATTAAACACTCACTCTTGCTTTTACAGGAGGTGGGGACGTAGGTTTGCATCGCAGCACGTAGCTGGTGTTGTTTTCTGAACGAAAGCTAGGCACCTCCTGGTGTGCATAGGCAAGGTACTTCTAAAAAGCAAAAACAGCCATTAAAATTGCTAAGTGGGCCAGCCCACAGATAGAGAATAGGAAAAAGCACCATTACTTGTGGCCCAGTCAGCCTCAGGCTTTCTAGCAAACGCTCCTTAGAAAATACTTGCTTGTTGTACTCCTAGTTTCTGAGGTGCTGTTTTTGAAAACCCAGGTGTTCTCCAAGTCAAGCAGCACCACTTCTGCAGATCCTGCTGTCTGATTTAACAGCAGCTTTGGAGAGCTGCCAAGTTATTTTGCCCAAAATGGCTAGTAAGGGCTGGCTGCTAGAAGTCAGAAAGTTGGCCTTCTGCATGGGGATTTTGTTACTTATGTCATAGATAAGGGGGAAGGGGAGGAAGAAAAGTCTTCTGCTGGAGGCAGAGGCAGAAACAATCTCTGTCGTTCTTCTGACTTGCTTACAGAATCACTGCAAGGCCAGGGAAGGATGAAGGCCCCTCAGAGTGCCATGAAGAATGGCCAAAGAATTACTCTTAAAAAAAAAAAAGAAAAAAAAGTCCTTTCCTATTTTTAATTCTTTAAGTCTTGTAGGACTCCAGAGATGACATCTACTGCTTCTTCTTGAGCTCTCAAACTTGTCACCTTGGCAATACAACAAAATCAGCTTAGGTTGCCAGTTTAGTCCAGAAAATCCACATTGGCTTCACTTCTTCTCTCTTTTTCTTCTTAAAATTTGCAATACTTTCATCATTTAACTTGCATCTAAGGACAACAGCTTTAACAGTTCCTCCTCATTCAGCGATGCACAAAGTCTCCAACATAAGAACTGATCAGGAGATGTGAGACTCAATGGCTGTCTTCTGTCCCTGGTGTAGGAGAGCATGCTTTGAGATCACATTCTGCTGTAGCTGCTACCTTCGGAGGTCACCTCTGCTCTGCCACCGAATCTTCAGAGTCTTTTGAAGCAGATTGGGCAGAGTCTGTCATTGAACCCCAGAGGATAGCACACTGGTGCATGTTTTAGTTCATCCTGGAGGCTTACACACAAGAAAGAAGCATCCTCAGATCCAATCAATGACTGAGACCTGACTCTGGGAGAAGGAAAGTCTCCTTTCCTCATTTGGCATTATAATTAAAAGAACATAATGTGAAAGGAAGATGAGCTCTGAAAATCAATATTCAACAAGAAACAACCAGAAGACATTAGAGCAAAAGTTATCTATTTTATTACAAAACTAAAATCAAACAGATGCCTTTCAGTCTAACAAACAATGCCATAGGCAGAAATGTGCTGGGGCAGGATAAGTTCAAACTTAAGTACTTAAGGATAAGTACAAACTTATGCCATGGAAAGCAGTGCCTTCATAGGAGTGAATCCCACCATAATGCAAATCCCTCCAAGACATGATGTCCTTGGAGGATCAGCAAAAAAAGATACGGTTTTGCTTCAGGAAGGAAGAGCAGATGATTTGCTCTGGAGAGCCCTGGTTCTCCTCTGTCATGAATGTTTTCACCTGTCATTTAAAGTAGAACTGGAGAGGCCCAGGAGGACTTGTAGGATGAGGAGAGAGACCCACGGTCTGCTTCCAGGCACAACTGTGACACACCCTCTGCCCCAGCTTCAGTAGGATGCTACTGATGCAAGGCAAAGCAGAACATGCTTGTCACTGCCAGATAAGGACATTTGGCCTGGCAGCCAGGTGACTGGCAAGAAAAACAACAAGGAATGAGGGGAGCTGAAGCATTGCTCTGTTCTGATGAGTACAGACTGTTTGGACAACTCAACGGATGGATTATATGAATCAGGACCAGTACAGCCTTGTGTGAGCTTCCAACACACAAATCCTGAACAAGTAATCTAACCTGTGTCCAGACTTTATGCAGTCATAGTGGTTGGGTCATGCATGTCAATGCACAAATGCTGCCATAAGCTGCTCTGAGGCCTGTGCAAATCCGAAGTTGTGATGCTGGGAGTTGGACTCCTCCCATGAAACTAAGGAGGGAAACAACATAATGCTTGGACCCCCACCCATCCATTAAGTCAGCACTAATATAGCAACACGAATATCCACCAATACCAAAGCTAACCTTGTTTGATCTCCTTGAACAACTGACTCAATTTTAATTGCAAACTACATGTGAGCGCAGGCCTTTTAGACCAGAAGGATGCAAAGAGGAGAAAAAGGTCTGCAGAAGGATATTAATGTGACAGGCAGCAGTGCTGGCTGGCTGGTTTACTGACATTCCCAGCATTTCCAGATGAAAAGATGCAATGATTTCTAGCAGCTCTGCACACCCCTGCAGTTCTGTGGGACACTGCCTGTCCCAGTGGCTGGATGACAGAGCTCCTGTTGAAATCCAACTGTCTGGATTTGCTGGATGTAACTATGCAATTAAAAAAAAAAGAGAGAGAAAAAAGAAACAAACAAGAAAACACCCAGCAGCCAGAGCTTTTACTTTCTAAGGCTAGCATATAAAGACAAGGAAAAGTGTTTTTTTTTATACAGTTGGGTTCATTCTTCGCTCCTACGATAGGAATAACAAAAGATAGGAACATTTCTAACTATACACTAAACCAAATCATTCCAACACACAAAAGATGAGTGCTGGGCATTTTAAAAAGAGAAGATGCAACTGAGAAGTTGGGAGCTTGCAGTCCAGAAAAACACATACATTGTATGTGAGGAACCATAAAGGATCAAGCTGCAGGATCTGCTCTTGCTGAAGAGAGCTTTTCTATACATTACAATGGTGTAATGTACACTTCAGAGACTACCAGAGGTGTTTTCAACCATATAAAACGCTTCAATCAGCTCCAATTTACTTCTCAGGGAAGAGTTGTTATTGCTACTATATGACTATTTCAAAAACGCTTGTTATTTTTTCTAATTTTCCATTTTGGCAACAAGGCACCAACTTACTGCATCAGGACAGTACTGCTGTGATGTGTCTATCATCAGGTGACATGCCACAGAGTGGCCATGTTGTAACATTTATAGCAAAGCAGCAAAGCCTCAGGGGACAAGTTCACCTTCTGCAGTAACACAACGCTTCTACAAACAATTGTTGGTGTGATCTCATATCAGCATGGCACAAAGTCATTTCTTACTACTGGATCTGGATCCAGAAATGAGTGGCACAAGTATTGCCAAGTCTAAAATGGGAAGTTGCTCAGAGTTCCTCTAGGAAAGGCAAGTGCCACTGGAGGTTGAAAATGCACAAAGCAAATCACAGCACAGCGTGTCCCATCACACTCTGTCCAAACCCAGGATAGCTGATCTGCTGACTTTACAACTGCATTTGACTGAAGTTAAGTAGGCAACAAGTTTGGAAAAACTGCAGGTGGTTGAAACAGCTCTTGTGGCCGCCAGGAGCACCAAGCTCTTCAAGCCTTTGCTGTTTCTGAAATGTGCCTCTAGAGTACAAAAGCACAGGAGATACTGATAGTGAATCAGGTGAAGTAGGTAATCGAAGCTAGACAGGCTGTCCCCTGTGCAGGAGAGGAGCCACCAAAGACAAGATCAGTCATTGCAGGCAATCCTTTACCAGCAAGCATGGCTCAAGCTGCAGAGTTGAAGCATAAGTAAAAGCAGACTCTTGGGAACCAGCAGCATGATCGTGTCCTTCTGCACTGACAAATTTGTTCTTTGCTCTCCAGCAAAGTAGCAGGCAGTCTGATGCTGCTTTTAGATGGCTCCTCAGTATTTTTATTGCTTGCATCATATAGATGAACATTGTGTTAGAGAAGAAGATGTGTGACATCACTCCGCTGATTCTACTAGTGTCTACGGTTTCCATGCCCTTCCAGTAGCATTAGATTCTCAGGACATGGCACATCTTTGCTAAGCATGTCTTCTGAGCCTGAACAGCAATGCATTTGCAATTCATTTCTAACCATTTTGCAACAGGTGCAGAAACTATTTCTACATTTCCTTAATACAACCCTTTCCGATCCCTACTCCGAGTAGCTTTGCAGTGCCCAACTCCTGAGGAGAAATCCTTGCTCCCTCAGATGTCCTGATGCCTGTGACTTGAACAGAGCTGCACAGTAATCAAAGAGGGGGTTCTCAAGAAGCATTTAGTATGTGGAGCACTGTGTGCACAGGTCATGCTGATATGCTTACTCCTTCGTGCGTGGGGACAGGAAGAGATCAGTTTGCAACTGAATGATGGATCAGATGGCAGAAATGAATGCATTACTGTAATCCATTAAATGCAAAGTGTCCCTCTAACCCTAACAGCCTTCAGAAGCAAAGGGAGGAACAGAACAGTGACTCCAACCCCTGTACAAGACAACTGTACAATTTACATACATATTTATATACAGTATATAAAATTCTCTTTCTTCGAGTCCCAGTGAACTCAATTTTAAGTCATCAGTAGCTGTTCCAATTTTAAAAAGTCATGATCCTGTTTCCCCCCGCTCTCCAAAGTATTAGATAATGGCATTGAAAAGAAATTAAAAACAAACCCAAACCAATTATTAGAAAGTGCAAACGTTCTGGGTGCCACTTCTGCTACATTGGATGTTTCTGATACTGCATGCTTGCTCTTAAGAAGCAAGGTGTCCATCTGTCGCTGTATCTTTCCTTCCTTTGGGTTGGCTCCTGCCTTCCCTTCTGTCTTCTGTTGCTGCTACACCAAGCGGCCTACTGAAATGAGTGGGGTGGGCAAAGAAAGAGGAACAAAACAGAAGCAGAGAAAGTGAGTAAAAAAGGCAAATTAAAACCAAAATGTCTTCCAAATGAAGTAAGATACAGTATACAGCTTCTGCTGCAAACATGGCCCCATAAGGCTGAGATCTCAAGTAAGCTGTGAGGCTGAAAACAACACGGGGCTAATGAGACAGCCTTGCTGAAAAAGTGTTGACTGAGTCACACACAGCCCTAGGGATTGATATATTTTTAAACGTAAACCACCACTTCCCTCTCCCTACCCCCTCTTGGAAATCAGTAGGCAGACTGGGCAAAATGCTGGTTTCTCCCTCTGCTCCTCTGCCTGTGATGGCTGATGCAGAATCCCACTGCTGCACGGCTGCCCTGCCATCAGCAGCCCCAGAGCCAGCTGCTTCCATCCCTCCGCAGGCAAGCAGGAGACAGACATTCAAGATCTCTCCCAGTCACTGTGACAGCAAAACACAGCAGTTTCCCTTCAAGACCTGCCTGCATCACACCCTCTGAAATCTAACAGGCTGATGAATCTGGGTGTCCCAGGGCCCTGCTGAGCTATGGCTGTCCCAGGGGATGGTACAAATGTGCTGCTCAGTGAGTCAGGTGGACGTGCACATTCCCATGCTCCTCTCTTCAGAAAGCATTTTTTAAGTCCCTCATCAAAGGTTCTCTAAGAATTTACAGGATTAGAACAAGCGCTCGCTGAGGATTAATTACAGGAAAAACATGGCAAAGAGAAGGCAGAAGTATGGATCTGAATTTCAAAAGGAGGAAAGTTAATAGACAGGCCTCACTAGAACCAGTGTAAATCAACATGCCCTACGAAGTGGGGGCAAATATTGTTAAATGCAAAATTACTCTGGGCGTAACTGAATCTCATTACACAGCTTTGCAAAAGGCTCTTTCAGTGCTCAATGAATAACAACAGCAGACTGACCTCAGCGTCTAGATGACCTGTCCTACACTAAAGACTATGAGTGACTAGGAAAAAGCTTGAAGCCACAGCACGTGATTTTTGCAACACCTCTTCTCAGCTTTTAGTGGCAAACAAAACTCAAATATATGCTCAGAACTGAGGACATACCAGGATACATCACTGTTTCTCACAAGACAAACTGAGACACACCCAATGAAGCCATGAGGCAGCAGGACTGAAAGGAAAGTGAACAAAAGTTGTTCACTTGATGAAAGGGTGCAATTGACTGCCACAAAGTACGGAAGAGAGCAGACATTAACTGGGACACAGAAGAATATTCATGGGAACATGTACATGAAGTAATATAACATAAATGCAACTAATCACTTAAATTGTTGCTCGCCAGAAAGAGGAAGAATAAAGCAAGAAGAGTATTCTTGCTCTATCCTATTCCAATTCCTTAGCTACATGTTGCCACAGCTGAAGACATGGTACTGGACTTTGAGCTGATGCTGTAGACCAGTATGTTATAATGTTCACACCTCTTAGGAACAACCCTGGCTTTTAGTTATTTATGTATTGCTATTTGTGAACACAGAAGAGCAGGAAGTACAAATTTTGGGACACATGGGTATCACAGACAAAAGAAAAAGTAACAAATACTTTGACAAGATACTCACTGAAAGGATTAAGGCCTTGTCTTTTTCCACTGGGGAAACTGCTCAGGCTACCTGTAAAATCCAAGAACCATGTTAAACACAATAAATGTCATGGCATGACCAAGGAGCATCCAGCAGGCAGGCTCCAGGGAGCTCCTCCCTTCTGGATGTGCACACAGCAAGTCCTGCCTCTGGAAGACTCATGTGCAAGAGTCAGACCTACAAGCTTGATGCTAATCACCTGCTGTTCTAGTACCCAAACATCAGGAGAACTAGAGGTTTGGCGTGGGCAAAAAGCAACTATTACAAGGTTAAAATAAAGTCTGGAAGGAAGAATAGGAAAGGAAAGATGCAAGGAGTGACACGAAGTTTCCCAAAACAGTCTTTGCTATGAAATGAAAGATCCCCACTCATATCTGGCAGAAGGGCAGGAACAGACTGCACAGCAATGACTGTCACAAGATAAAGGCACATGCACCCCACACCAGATGGAGCTAACAGCAAGCACTTTTGCCTCTGCAATAAACCAGTTCCCACCACCTGCTGGGTACTGACAACACAGGGACTATAGGAGCTGAGCACTTCCAAAAGTATGTTTCAGTCCCTGCTGGCTGCTAAGTAGGGATTTCAGGCAAGGGCCTTGCTAGGGGCGGGACCTCCTGCTCACAGCCAGAAGAATGTTGCCACCCCCAGTTCAGGTCAGGCTGAAATCTTTGATGCGTGTGTGCAGCTGGCTTAAGGTGCAAAGTAAGGCATGATTTAATTTGCACCAGTAATACAGGAACTCACACCTAAAGAACATTTTGCTGTGTGGAAGGAAGATGAGCAGAAATGTAGCAACAAGGTGGGAGAGCAAGGAAACTGCAGGAAGACAGATGCTGCACCCTGACAAGGAAAAGAGAGGGAGAGAAAGGCGGCAGCTGCATTTGAAATGGATCACAGAGCAAAATATTTTAGCTTTAAAAACTGTTAATAAGAGGAACAGCATAAACACAGTGAGTGAGTGATTTCAAGGTCCCTGAATGCCAGCCTCGTCTCAGCCATCTGTCCTGGCAAGATCAGAGAGACCGCTGTTAGCTTATTCCTGTGCCTGCACATAAAAAGCAGGGCTCCGTAGCCAAGAGGCAGATTCTTCCAGAGCTAATTGGGACTCACCGAGGGGCCTGGCAATAAAAGCACAGTCTACTTATGAACTGCTGCATCCTCGGGCAGCTGTTCCCCTAGAGGGTGCTGCTCGGCCGCACACAGCCCCGTTCCATCATCGCCCTTTGCCCTCAGCCTACTTGCAGCTAAGGGCCTCACTGCCTAGGGTCTGCACTCACCCTCTCGAGTAGTGAAGCTGGGACTAGTGTGCATTGCTGTGACTGAGACTGCTCATCTTCATAAAGATTTGGAAAACAACAGATAAGTTGATCCAAAAGGCCTGCAGTGGCAGGGGGTCCCAAGGCCAGGCATGGCAGACCTTTCCAGCACGCTGGTAGGGCTCTGTGCTTTCTGTGGGTTTATTCCCAGATGCATTAGTGCAGGGAAACTAACAACTGCCATAAAACTGACCATCTTTCACTCCAAAGGCAGAGAATACGATCTTCAGAGGGCTACTTTCAATACAAAAACAGGCCAGCACGTGTAACTGTAGAGAAGACAAAACCCCACCAGAGTAACACTGTAATGAGCATAAAGTTGAAATGAAAGAGAGGAAGGGGTATGGCAGATGGGGACAGTGGGTAAATAGAGTATATCTGAGAAGCATTTGGGTATTGCAGGCTGACATCCCATCACACACTGAGTTCCATAACTCAAAGTATTTGCTCAGCCTCACAGATACACTATTTTGGCTAATAATTCTAGCTACAGTATATTTGGCCAGATGTCTTCCAAAAGAAAAAGCTCAAGGAAACCCCAGCAGTTTTTTATAGGTAGAAGTAATTCCTCTGACTCACTGAGCAAACCTATCACTTTTGATGGGGAAGAAACACGCTTTCAGGAATCCTATCTCATGTCAAGACAATACAAATGTTCCAACTGGTACTTATCCTCAGGATTAAAGGAGACAAACTATAGCATCCCAACTGAACTCCAAAGGGGAATATCTGAGCAAAGCAAACAAAACCAAGCACTGAATCAGCAGAGCTTGTTTACATCCCAATCTACATCTAACTTCAATTAAATATACTCTGAATTTCAGTTCTATTAACTCAGTCACTACTTAAATGCATTCAGCAAATAGTACCTTACAGTTTCCTCATGCTCTCAGACTGTCATCAGCTTCCTACTGTCATCAATTCAGAGGCCTTTCTGAGATGACCACTCCCTGCTACCTGTTCCCACACAACCGCTTGCCTAAGTAATGGAGTATTTTCACTCCCAGAAGTCTGCCAAGCACAAAGAAAATCAGTCACTTCTGCAGGTACTGATTAGACGGGTCTCAAACACCACTGAATTAATTCAGCCATTTAGATTGTCCATTATTTTTCCTTCTTTCTTTAGTAGCAGCACCCACATCATGGGTGACCACAAAGATTAAGAACCTGCTGTGGAGGGGAGGACAGATATAACTCTGCATCTCAGACAGATTTGATCCTAACCTGGAAAGAGCTCAAATTCATGCTTGTCATTACGAACATTGCAGATGAATCCTCCCACATAAAGCTTCCTTTTACCCATGAGACATGTAACTTTACTGATTTGTCTATGCCCTGTCCTCCCACCAAGCAACACTATTTCCATGTTTGGGTGAAACTGATTCCAAAAAAAAAAAAAAAAAAAAAAAAAAAGAGCACAAAAACCCAACCAAAACACAAAAAACCCAACACAAAACTAACAAAAATGCAGAAGCCTTAACATTTGTTTTTCTTACCATTTCAGACTGTACAAAATTTGTACTTAGGCTTTATTTTCAAAATCAGTGCAAGTGTTCAGTTTGCTTAGCAGGAGGCACACTCACCAGGAATGATGACCCACCTCCTTCTAGTCCTTATGCTGCTGGATTCCAACCACAATTTGGAATATTTGAGGCAAGTTCACTAGTAATGAAGCACATCAAGGGGAAGAATGACTTTCCTTCCCTCCTTCAAGCCCTTCTCATCCAAATTCAGATCAGAACAACCTTTCTAACAAAGATTTTGTTGAAACAAGCATTTCCATAAAAAGTTTTAGATTAATTTGACTGGCAGCTTACAACAGAAACTTCCCAACCACTTTTTGGCTTGGACCAACAGTGACCTCAGCCGCAGCAAATGTGCAGATACCATGGTATAGAGTAAGAAACACAGAGAGGAAATACATGGACTAGCTGGCTGACTGCATGAACCCATGCTCTGATGTAAGAGGACGTGTAAAAAAGGGCATTACTGGCTGTTTCTTAATTTAGAGGTTCTTGTAAATAGATGGCAGAGCAAACATTATCTGCCGCCTCACAAATTTGTTACTCCTTTAAGAAAGTCTATCACAAACTTCCATATTGTGTTCTCCAAGTATTCTCACTTGTTTTTTCCCATATGCTGGTGGGCTGCTTCCTGCACTGGCTCCCTCTACTGCTTGTTATCCCTCATCATTCTCTAGCCATCCGTAGGTCCTTTCTTAAGAGTTCTCCTTCCAAATAACTTACCCATTTAACTTCAGTCCTCAAGAACTATCAAACCTCTAGTAGGCATGTGGAGCTATGTGACAAAACAAAGTTGGAGCCCTCTTTTGCACACAATCTTGTCCTCATATAATGGGACAACCAGGAAAGGTCAGGCTGTCTTCTCAACATTTTGGGAATCAGGGACTCACAGCAACTCCCTTGCTTTCCCCTTCATTTGAGCTTAAAGATTCTCTTTTTCTTCTTTCTCTCCTTTTTTCTCCCCCTTCCATAAAAATTCTGAACAGTCAGTGGGCCAAGGCAGCAGATTCCAGAGAGTCTTATTCCAGGCCAAATAGCAATAAAACTCATTTGGCATATTCATCTAGTGGGAAGGTAATAAAATTAAGGAACAGAGCTGCTATTTTGGTATGTAATTTCTCAGTAAAGTACCAATGACTAAGAAAAAAACTTCCACTGAGCTAGGAAAGCTTAAAATTTCTCACAGTTGACAAATAATACAATGGTCTTACTATGATAATCAAGATATATGCAAAAAAAAAAAACCCAGAAAAAGAAACTTCTCAACACTCAACGGTACTCATTCCCTTCTCATGCATGCTACACCTGAGGAAAGCACTAAGGAAAAGCTAGGACTGGAAAAAGAAAGCTAGCCATCCTTCCCAACCAGCATAACAGTTATAACAACAGCTGTCCACACAACCAAAACACCTGCACAGGAAATTAGTCCCTTGGAATCTCCTTGTTTACCTTCCCCTGCCAAGCAAATCTGCCCATAGTCAAGAATGACTGATAATTATTGAATATGGGTTGAAAGGTTTCAATTCATAGAATTTCCAAAAGTATCAGTTTGGTCCAGGTTTCAATAGAAGGTGAGGTGAAAATGAAAGAGGAATAAAAGGAAGGGAGGTGGGCCGATTGCTCAGCCACTAGACAGGAAGAACAGCTATTCCTATGCCCTAATTCTCCCCCAGTCTTAAAATGTAATTTAACTCTGAAAAAGTCCAACAGTACAGTCCTGCACTTTCCTTTTGAGTTGTTGTCTCTGCGTCATCCCCTCTCCTGCATGCCAGATTTAGCAATGAAAATAAATATTATTTCTGTTAGTCAACAGGGCCTCTGGAGAAGGACTGGGTTTGTGCTGCCTCATACATCATCCAACCTACATGGTTGAGGCAACAGAATATTGTTAGCAGTGTATTACTCAGAGAGGTCCTGAACTGAACTGCAGTTTCTAAGGACTTCTACAGTATAAGCAGGGTTCTGGGCAAGGCTCATCTTTTTGCCCTGTATCCATTTAGTTCTTAGCACAAAGGTCTGTGATAAGGACTTTAAGACAGAGCCATAAAAATAATGAACTACAGCTGCATGGCAGGGTATTAATCACTCATTGTCTCATGCAAAATGCGGCATTTTTTAATTACCGAGGATAAAACTGATTCCCGAGTTTAATGTAACTCTACATCAGACATTTATTCTCACAGAATGGGGAAGGAAAGCCACTTACTTCCTTCCTTGCTGACTCCCAAGCACCCCTTCAGCTCCTGAAGTGAGATAGACTTGTCCTTGTTGAGGTCACAGTAGTCAGTGAAACGTCGGGCACATTTCTTGGGCTTGGCTTTCTTCTTCACATAACGCTTGAAAGGCTTCAGCTCTCGCTTATTGATGTCATTGCTGCTGTTGTTGTCCAGCTGGCTGAAGTACCAATGTACCACTCGCTCCTCCAGCGTGTGGCTGGGGTCTGGCTCAGAGAACCTGCAGGGGAGAAAGCAGAGGCCCCTGACAAGTGGGTGCTCTTACCAATGTTGTCACGTGCATGGAAGAGCCACATACTGTGACGTGTGTAAAGCAGGATAAATACACAAGTCTTACAATCTTCTCCTTTTAGCTGAGATCTTCAGAGAGAGAGAGAGAGAGGAACTTAATCTAAAAATGTCTTTTAGCATTAACAAGTGGTAACAAGGGATTCTGGGAGACTGATACCTTCAGTAGCTCTGTCTCTCTTCACACCAGTTGCTGAAACTGCCTAATTCCAAAGGATTCCCCTTTGGAGGGCAAAAAGCAGTCTTCATGCTCCTTTTGACCCCTGAGCTACCAATGTGAGAGCTGTGAATGCCAGCTGCCATGGTAGTTTCTGTGATAGCAACATCTAGGCTTCAGAAAGGGAACAAATTTATTTAATGCAAGACACATTCATTATTTGAAAATGTCCTTGGCAAGATGAAACATTCTTGCTGTATCTATTTATATGATCTGAACTCCCGTGCTGTATTTGCAGCATATTTAATGCTTTTCACGTGGTTGATTTATACACAAGAATTCCACAGCAGACAAGCACCACAAATCCATTAAAAACAATACTATGGAACTGGCAACTTCAGTGTGCTCCATTTCTTACTTATTCTGATCTTACAACTTTGACATTATTTGGCTCATATTTTCTTTCTGTGGACAACAACAAAAAATATCAGACAGGAGGACAAGAGGAAGAACAGCCTCAGCTGAAGACGTGTGAGTAGAGAACACTGCCTTTCAATCTCAGGTCCTTACTGAAGAGGCAGTAGGTCATACTGATTACATGCTATGAGGTGCTCTCCAGCAGTAGGAAAGGAGTTATTCCTCATGATACAAAGAATATTCCTTGTGATACAAAGAATCAGGGAAGAAATCCTTTCTAGACAAGACTTTTTTCTTTTTTTTTCTTTTTTCTTTCTTTCTTTTTCTTTTTCTTTCTTTCTTTCTTATTTTTTTTTTTTAAGCTCTCTAAGGTAGCCTGTTTTTTCTCCAAATGATGGATGTATCATTAAAAAAGTTAAAATGATGCTGAGACTTGAGCCTTTTTCCTCCGAAGCATAAAGCTTTTCAGGGCATGGAAATTAGTGGACAGGCATTCAGACATGCTACACTGGCACTGGTTGCTCTGACTTATTCCAGGAGACACGTCCAGCTGCTGCCTAATTCCTTCCGCAGTGATGGGAGAGGGACAGTTGTGTGCTGCAGGCAGCCAGGTTCTGGTGTGAGTTCTAGGCATTCAAGCTAGGGAAATATGAACCCAGGTTCAGTTTCACTAAGATGTACCTTATAAAATGCATTTTAAGACTTATCATCAACCTTAATTAAGAAATTGGTGGGTTATATATTTAAATGGACACTGAAAAATTCTTTTTTTGGGAACTGGAAGGGTGAAAATCCTTTTGACCTTCTCATATGACCCCTTCTGCCTCTACAATGCAGCTACAAAGCCTGAAAAAGAAAATCACAACCTACAATCATGGCACATCAGTAATGTGAAAGGTAGTCGCTATCTGGGAACATCTGGACCCCCCCACCCCCCCCAGAATAAAGTTACACACTGGAAAGAGGTAAATAACCTACACAACATATTTCACAAGTTTTTACTTGAGAATGTCTCCTTCATCATTTAAATCTTAGCTGAAAAGCAGCCTGGCATTCAGTCACAGCATCTGGTCAATGTACAGTGGGATAAACACTGCGTGGGAGGAAGAAGAGATTGGGAATAAGTTTGTCTTAGTTTTGGGAGCCAAAACACAAGGCAAGCCCCTGGAGCTACCTATGGACAAGTAGAAACTGCAAAAATCTCCCCAGGAAGCTAAGGGAGTGCCTGGATTTTTTAGAGCCCTGAAACTCAACATGAAGAACAGGATGACAGGAGAGAATAAAAACACATCCTGTGGCTTGTTTTTATGACATTTATAAACACAGTCATTGGCCTCTCTCCCTTTTGGAAGTGAGCTGGCTATCGTTTGAAGACTTGCATGTTTCCAACAGCCACAGGGAAAAACCAGAAGTTTTGTATTGCAAGAGAGGAGCTTCTGCTTTTGCTGAGATAGAGGAATACAACCCCAGTTTTTGCATGTGAGATTGCCTTGGTCCACGCCTTGGCCTGCCCATGGCTCTGACCTTTGTTTTCTGAAGACCCAGATCTCAAGCCACAGAAATGGAGAAAAGGGAAAGAGCACCCCTAGCACTGACAGTAGAAAGACAGGAGCACTGGCTTCTCTCTACCTGCTGAAGAGACACTCCAAAGCAGGATTTAAAAGGGTCTTTTTTTTTTCCTTTTGTCTTTTTTCCTTTTTTCAGAAACACATCAAGGAGGAGCTCTCCTAGTTACTAGAAGAGGCAACGTGATTTTCTCCAGCACCTCCAAAAAGAAAACCAAGGCAATCCAGAGGCTAATACAAATACATTGACTCATGAGGTGATGATGTATCAGTCTTAGCCACTACAAACAAACTGAGCATTTATACTGAAAACAGCAGCACGCTAATGGAACTAAAGGGAATTAGTTTAACTTCTGTGACTGTAGGAGGAAGGAAGATAGAGCCATTACTAAGTTTTTACCACTTCCTGCTGGCTGGCCTAAAAGTACTGCAGTTCCTGAGCTGGTTGCTTGCCCTTTCTGATGATAATCCAGAATCCCAGAACAGGGAGGATTTTGAATATCCACATCATCTCAGTGCAGCCATACCTTCCCTGTGCATCGTGCAATTACATGATAGACTGAGAATGCTGAGGTTACAACATTCATCTAAATATCTTGACTTTCAAGACTGTCCATGCAAGACACTTACTTTCCATCCATGAAACATGAGTTGAAGCAACTTCACAGCATTGCTAAACCAGTTAGTTTTGATGATGTGCCATGACAACAACCATCCATGCTGGGTCAGCTGAAATGTATCTGAGGTCTCTAACTGTTCTGCCAGTGCAGAGGTTGAAGTCATATTCTTGGGGAATTTTATTCTATTGCCTCTCCTTTGTTGTTGCAAGAGAAATGCATCAGTTCTCAGATGCAAAGTTAATTTGCTGGGCTGCTTCTCCACTGCACATTTTCAACTTACAATAAAACATCACTTACTCCAACACCAGTCACATGAAAAATCCACTGAACCTGTCTCTTGTTGCAGTATGGTAACAGTTTCTCAGGCTTCTTGTGCAGACTACATAAAAGCCAGTGAGTTTAGCTCCATTATACAGCATAAGTCCACCAAGAGCCCAACAGGGAAGAGAAGAGAGGTCTGTCATTACCAGTCAAGGACAGGTAATCTGCTCTTTCAGCCTTCTTACTAATTCACTATTATCAAGTGAATAGTTTTGTCTAAGTAATCTTTTGCTCCTCTTCATGTATAATGTGCTGTCAGCTCCCTCATGGGAAGCTCTTTACTTATCTCTTCACTGGCTAATGCCTGAAGACACCTGGGTTAATGCTCTATTACTTTTAACAAGGCTATTTTTCCAGCCGAGACACACTTCCACAGAACATCATAATATCATCTGGTCTAACTGGGGTATGGACAGAAAGCAAAGAAGCTATGAATAAACATGGACATGTGCTTCTTGCAGCTGCACTAAATTCTGGAGCAGAGAGGGAAGAATATGCCAAAATACCACCTAGACAGCTTGAACACGCTCTTTGCAAGCAGTCTATAATGCTTTCCAGCCCTTGAGGTCCCTAGCAAGAAAGAAGCAATTAACTGCACAGGAAAGAAGGGAAGGTATCTAGCGTAAAATACAGGAGAGCAAGGTCAGACAATGCACACATACCGAAACATGTATAGTGTGCAATCACATTCTCCTCCATTGGGCTGTACTCTTAAACTCAACTACATTTTATGGAGTAAAACCAAGTCCCTTCCTTTCGAAGTCAATCCTTTGCTCCCTGCACACTTGCAGCCCCACTGCACAGACTCTCTATACTATTGCAGTGACAGAAAATCTACAAACGCAAAATATTCCCCTGGAAGAAAGCAAGGTTGCAAGCTCTGAAGTACCCAGCAAATGATCACCTGTTTGAAGGTTTTCCAAAATCCGTTACTTTCTAATACAAACTTTAATTGGCAACAATAGCAGCTAAGGCAGGAGGAGGGAAGGGGATTAAGACCAGGCTAACATCTCTAACTCTAGACTGAAAATGGGGGCTGTAAACCAATGGGAGCTAATTCTAGGATGAAAGAGCACCAATGAACAAGAAACTACTAGCAGAAGCAACTGAGCAGAAAAAAAGCCCAGCTTCCACTCCCAGCACACAAGGCATATACTTATAGTCAGGTTATCTACAGTATTTAAATCTGTAAGTTTCAAAGTCTTGACATTATTTTGCAAGCATTTAAGCCTTAAGCTAAATGAAGGAAGGATGCAAAGAAATATCAGGACTGACCTTGCCAGACAATGCCCAGGAGAGCACTAATGATGCCTACCAAGGTGCCCAGGGGAAGTGATGATGGAAAGTGGCAACAGTTTTAACAGAACAAGTAAAATTCATGATTCTTCTTGCCTGCTCTGCTTCCACTTCTTCGTCTCCTTTTGTCATTCCTTGAGGTTGTCTATTGTAAAGCTAAAAGCACTAACTGTGGAACATGGCTTGAATCAAAGAGGATTACTCTAATGAAATTGTAAAAAGGATTGTGTATTTGTTTTCTTATTCTCCCTTTCCCATAGGGAAAGAGTCAAGAAGCTAACAAAAAAAATAAGCTGTGTTCAGACTAAACAAAAGGTTACTGCGCAGTCCAAATTCATTACAAGGAATGCATAATTCCTCTACAGCTAAAACTAAGCTATCTTCTCATTACAGACCCAGTTTCTTTCTCTCCTCCCTCCGGCTAAGTTGTGTATGAAACATTCTGAACACAACTTTTCTGAAGATTGTGGCGTAAATCATTTAGGAGGTTTAAAAATCAACTCCCTTCATTCCTCATTGACTTTTAAAAGATCCTCCTATTACACGATCTCTTTCATATCTTTAATTAGGCTAGAATTTCCACAGAAGCATAAAGAGAGTTCAGTATCCAACTTCAATTGAATTGCAATAGGAGCTGGGCATTAACTTCCCCATACTGTTTGAAAGTGTCAATCTTTATTAAAACATGGCTCAACTTCAGAACACCCTGGAGATGTGCTGAGCTTTACTTGCCTGCTTCCAACTGCTCAACTACAGCATGAAAGGGAACCTTGGGGGCAATTTTCTGAAGTACCTTTTAGGGCTATTACATGGGAAATAATTGGCAGCTTACAATGAAGGCACACAGCTGCTGAGTTACATGATAAGGATAGCTGTCAGAAGCTGCTCTTTTAACCCAAGACTCCACAGGGCATTCATATTTTTCCTGATGATGTAACAAGCTACAGTGAGCATATTTTGGCAATTAAAATTTATTCCCAAGTTAGCAAAGACTAAAGATAGTTTCTTAGATTCGGTAGAGAGAAGCTGGGATCTCCTTTGACCTATTCTAGTTTAGGCCCCGTGTGATAGGAATATGTCTGACTTACAAAATAGAATAAAATGTACTAAAGTGAACTCTTTTTTTTTTTAACAAAAAATGCTGCTTCTATTATATAGGATTTATGCATGATACAAAACACTGTTTAATAAACCTATTTCCTACAAGAGTTCCCTTAATTAATTTGAAAACATACAGTAACAAGACGTGCCTTGGAGTTTATGTAATAAACTTAAGAATGAATTTTACCAGAGATTTTCTGTTTCAAAAGCTTAAATGAAGTCTATTTGGCTATTTTGCTATAATATAAACCAGGGCCATGACGAAGGGAAGTTCTCTTCTCATTTACATTATTGTAAAGCAAGAGTAACTCAATTAAAATCAATAGCTTTGAACTTGCTTAAACGAGACAAGACCTATAAGGGATTACAAGGTTGTTTTAAGCATGCCCAATTAAAAAAAAAAAAAAAAAAAGTCTTATCAGGTTTTACTTACACTGCCTGAAGCAACAAACAAGTTGTACTGCATCACTTTGCTGCTACTAGATTGTTTTGGTGTGTGTCAAGTGTAAAGCAGGCAGATCAGCACAGCCTTATGTAGAGTTTTAAATACAGATCTCCAGCATTTTTTCTCCTTACATTTTTCCTTTCCCTCCAAAGAAAAATTAATAACACATTCATTGCAAAGCCATAGAGAACTTTGCAGCATACATAGGTAAAGTCTTGAAGACACTCAGCAAACGCAGGCAGTTTTCACCCCACATATTCAGGTTCAGGCTGAAAGCTGCAGAGTCAGCTAATCCAATCTCCTGCACGTCACACGCACAGACTGTGAATCAATTTACTTTTAAGACCACAACTTCGATCTGACTGAAGTATTTCTGAACGGTATCAAGCCCAAAAAGAAAGCCTTACAGAGAGGGAATCCATCACCACCCTCATTAGTTCATTCTGCCTTACAAATAGCTTTGCTTTAAAGAAATGTTGATCACAAGATGGTTTATATTCAGCTGATCATGTCCTTCCCTGTTAGACTAAAGAGCCTGCAGAGCTTGTGCCCCTATGGACTCACTCAGATTTTAAGTAATGATCTTTCAATCCTTTTTTCTTTCTTCTAATATCCCATGGAAGCCTGAACTCCTTAAGATTCTCACTCTTAGGTTTTTTTCAGCCCTTAAAAACTTTGACAAGGCTCTTCTCTGTGTGTTGTTCCTTCTTTAAATGTTTGATACCAAAGGTGTACATTGTGTGACAGTTCCATCTCCCTGCTGTCACAGAGAAATGGAAATAACCCCTCTTTGCTAAAACTGCCTCTCTGTTGATAAATATTTGCTTTTTGCCACAGTCCCACACCGCAATCTTGTATCCACAGTTCAATCCATTTCAGTAACTTTTGGTTTTGGGTACTGCTCCATTTCTGTCCCTGCTCTGGAAGCAAGGCCTTACATTCAGTCCACCTACACCTATACCCAAAATGCTCATTTTGTATTTAGAACTCACAGGACAACACACGGGGCCAACTGACATGGGGAAATCAGCTTGTGTGTATCGAGTTTGCCTGTCCTCTGTGACTTTTAAGCTTACAATAAACTATTTTCAGTATTGGCTTCATTTGTTCAGCTTCTAAAAGGGTCAAAAAATGGTGAACACTTCAAAGAAAGAGGTAGGTTACAGAGGAAGCCAGTGTGTGTTTAAATGCAGTACTTCCCCTCCACTGTTATCATAAAGATGGAGAAGAGCCTGCAATAAGAGAAACTTGCCTCACAAATGTAAGTGTCTCTGCTGACATTAAGCTAAACCAGATCTCGAGCTTTTCTTTCCAATATCACCTTCTCAACAAACCTGGGTGAAGGAGGTACAGGATAAGCACTGTTGTAAATTAAGTATAATGTTAGTTGTTAAGGCTGGAAAAGAGTTCATTAGCCCCATAAATAAAATATTCATGAAAAAAGAGCTTTCATTTCTGATGCCAAAGTAAAGTCAGGTCACCAAGCAGAATTTCAGATGTTCCTGAAGAGAGGACTCTAGACATTTTCCCCTCTGGGAAACTTGGAAAGCAGAACTCATTGCATAGAGACTGCTTCCTGGCTTCCCAGCTCTGCAAACTGATACCAAATGAAAGCTGCACTGATTCAATTGTTAAATTCCTTGAAATTGTTTTTTGTTTTTTTCTTCTCTTTTCTCAAATAAATGGTTTCATAGTGGCACATGGATGGAAAAGCTTGATGTAGGCTCTTTTGGCTATGCACTTACCCTAACTGATGCACGCGGAAGTTTATGCCAGAGCAATTTCCTGAGTTTAATCACAGCTGTGAGCAGGCAGAATATTTGGGTGGCAGCAGCCTTTCGCCTTACAAAGGACAGACTGCTAAAAGATTTCTTTTTCCCCTTTCAACTGGGCTGCTGACACTGCTGCTGAAAATAAATCAATGTGGCGACTGCGAAGAGCCGGGCAGTGAAAAATTCTGCCAGAAAAGCTTCTATTCAAAGCTGAGAAATACACAAAACTTGGGGAACATTAGGAAGAAAGCCTGCTGGGTTTATGGAAGAGCAGTGGGGGCATATATATCTCTGGTCTCTGCAATATTGGTTTATATTAAGCTTTATTTTAAGAGTGATGATTACATTGGCTGGGTTTCAGCTTCTGTGCCAAAGATGCCAAATAAATATCAAATACTCTCCGGGGCTTCCTGCCACCCCCACCCACAGTATTTGAACCATGCAAATTACACAGAATTGACACTGGAATGCTTATGGCTGGGAGAGAACAACGTATTTCCCATCCTTGGGGCATTTTTCATCCTGTTTATATGAGTACAGACATGCTAGGCATATACTGCTAATTCGAAGGGTTACAGACTATCCCATGTGCAGGCATTCAGCAACCGGCCTCATTTGCAAGGTCCAAACACAAAGTTAAAAACATATGGGCTCACAAGCAATCCATCCAGCAACCAAGAGGCACAAAGGTGCCACCCAGGAAGTTTTTGTCTTGAGAATTTAAAGGTGGTATTGCTTCCTCATGCATTTTGAAAGAGGGAAGCAGGGTATCAACAATATGTGCTGGAAGCAAGATGCACAAAGGTACCTCCGTCTCTACATCTGCATTAACGTGAGCACAATATTTGCTGTGGCATCCCTGTCTGGTAGGCTAGTACTGTCCCCTTTTATAGTCAGAACCATAGAAGCCTTGCCCAGTCATGGCCACACAGCATTTTTTTTTTTTAACTCAACAAAGTCCATTCCCAGTGGCCTGTTCTGCCTGGCACGTTGCAGCACCGCAGCTGCTGCACTAAGGAGATTTCCTATCATCAAACAGGAGGGGGAGACAAGATCTCAGCTTTTCCCCAGTTCCCCAGAAAAGCACACTTCTGCCCATCTCTTTCAACAGGCCTGACTTGTTGCTCCTTCCAAGAGGGATGAAGAGGCAGCTGGTCAGAGGGGAGGGTCATGAAAAACAGCTTCTCTCCTCATCCCCAGGCTGGCTTCAGCTCCACAGCAAAACCACAGCACTTGTGCTGCCAAGAATTCCGTTCACATTCTTCACTCCCTGTGGTAGCCACTAGGCCACACGGTCTTCTTCAATCCATTTGCATTTTATTAGGTCTTTTCATAGACCAGGGGACAAAAGAACAAGACACTTCCTCCCACTGAGCTCTCATTTCACACTTCAAATGGGCTATACTAACCTTTATGGTGGAACAGCTGCCAGGGAGGAGGGGTGGGAGCAGGCATGCTAGACTACAAGGACAAGACAGGGCAGCCTCTGATGGTACAGCACTAGCTCCTCTCCCAGCAAACCAGATGAATGGGAATCAGCTCAGAGCACCACTCTCCCTCCCACCTCCCACCTCAGAGGCATCCAGAGCAATCACCTTAGTGCGTTCAGCTCAAGTGCTTTCCGACTCACCTCCCACCCCCGGTAGGTGCTGCTGAGTTAATAGCCTGTACCATGTCCGTAGTGAGAGCATCGAGTAAGCTGGTGATAAATTCAACTTTCTTCCCATCTGGACAGCCTGCAAAAATAAAAGAGGAGGTTTAATGCAAGAACACACAAGACTGGTCTCCCAGCCCAATGCAGCAAGGACCAGTCAGAACCCCCTTTGTTTGTAACATCGTAGACACCATTGCAGGAAAGGCAGAAGAATTTCTCAGTGGGTTCCTCTGCATGGCAATTTGTCCTGCAGCTTTGTCCAGCACACACACAGTCACCAACAATATCTGGCAGGAAGATCATGTGGTTGGCTTTACAGCCTCTCCTCCCAGTTCCCTACCAGCATAACCACAGGGATGTGCTGGAAGTGCCTGGCAGACAGAGTTCCCATGGTAACACTTGTACAGGAGTTTAAAAAACAATTCATTACCTCCTGGGTCATCTTCCTGCAAAAATACGGCTGTTCTGACGCTCTAACTGACAGCTTAAAGCTCCTTAAAGCAAGGGCCAAAGTGAGCGCTGCTGTTCTTACCTCCCTCTCCAGGCACAGAGTACTGCCTGCCAGGAGCTACCACAATAGTTCAGTTCTTTGCATGTCCAGACTGCACTGGAAATATGTCTGACCAAGTGATCACATGGCAAGAGCCTCCAGTAACTGCTGATTTGGGAAGGAATTGGACAAAACAGACTGTAGACAAGCTTGGTAACTATTTCCATGACTTAGTCCTGAGACCATCCAGTTACTCACCATTATAACTCCAGAATGATGGAGCTTCTTGTCAGTCTTACAACAGAGCTGAGACATGAATCTCTGCCTCCTTACCTTTATGAAGCAAAGAATGCAGCCACTGTCCAAAACCTACCACCTACCATTCCATTGTTTTCTACAACATGACACTGAAGCCATCACCACCTTCCTTATTCTTCCCCGAAACGTTTGTTCACTACCAATTATCCGTGTAGAAGAGCAGCACCAGAAAACAGTATTGCCTTAGTAGCAAGTAGCAATGTCAACACTTTCTGCTTTTCCCGGACAAGCAGAGAAGCACGTGTACCCCAAACATAGCAGCAGAAACCTACTGTAATCCCTTGACAACTGAAAGCAGCTTGCAGATTGATCTGACAAAACTCCTTCCTTTTTGCAGCATTACAGTCTCTGTTCTCTGCAATAGCCAACCAACAGTCCCTAGCCTGTCTCCATATTAAGCATATTACACACATGCACACCCCTCAGCACTTGTTTGGCACACAGTCCAGAAAATGTCAGCATTGTAATGGGTAAGCTGCTATGGCAGCCAGAGGAGACCACTCACTTAAAGGAGCTTTTTGTTGCAGTAATAAGAAGGTTGAAAAACCATTTGCTAGAAGTCATCTCCCTGGGGCCTCAGCATCTCACCATCTGCAGGAATTAGCGGCTTGCCATTTGCTATGTGCAAGCAACACATTCCCTCCTTCTTTCTTCTGGCTCTTGTGGGAGCAGCATGGCACAGTTTGTGAAGAGGGTATGCATAGGTATGCACAGATTCATACTTTTGTCTCTCCCAGCTTGGCCTGTGCAGGATCATACAGGAGAAGGATGCTACTGCCTGAAGCACTGAAGGTCTGGAGGATAGGCAAGACTCTAGAAAAGAGGTAAGTAAGGGGCCTCCATTGGAGAAGTGAACGCAAATGGAAAGATGTCTCAAATGAAAGTAGAGATTTTTCTAAAAGCTCAGTTCTAGTAAGAAATAGAAAAGGTAAAAGAAAACATCTTTTCTCATTCCCTGTAGTTCTGACTCACTAGTGAATTTTTATATACAAGAGTAGCTAATAATACAAACCTCAAGTCTGTATCAAAAGACCATGGAGCAGACAAATCAGGATACGTGCCTCCCCTGCTCCAACTCTTCATAGACAAAGGTATTTCTAGCAACAGGAACCATCAGGGATAGGAACCACACATCCAAGCACAGAGCTGAATGTTCTCTAAAGTACAAAGAAGTGGCCTGAGCTGAGAGGAGAACTCTCCTGGAGTCTGATGCTACAGAGCACCCTACATATGTCCTCTTGTGCCTCATGTAGTTCCCATCCCCTCCTCCACTTCCAACTGTAGTGCAGAAGAAGGAAGAAGAAACAATTCTGTCTTCCTGAGAGATCAGAAAGAAACTATAGGGAGTCCAAAGGCAAAGGATTTTCACTGAGTTCTGCAGAGACAGAGAATAAATGCAAGAGGCACCAGAAAAGCAAAGGGAAAATAGTAGGGAGAAGAAATGAACTCAGGTTGTTCTGTTTTACAATGATTTCCTAAGGAAATGAGCCTTAATGCAATCATTTAGCTGATTTGCTAAATGGGGTGATCTCTCACCCCCCAAAGTAATACTTGAACCAATTGGCCAATTTCATTCAAATGTAAGAGGAAATTTTTACATGTCTTGTAAAAATGAGCAGCTGCGTAGTAGAGAGCCTTGCTGGGGGCAGAGCTGCTAAGCAGAGAGCTATGGAGCCCAGGGTCAGGAACTGGCAGGAGAATCAAGAGATGCAAAAGGCAAATCTAGAACAAATCTCATTTTCTTTGCTAACTTGTTCAGAGACAACTCACTTCACATTAGCCCTAGAAAGGGCCAGAAAAAAGTGAAGCAGATCCATTGCTACCAGCTTTTTCTGTGGAGTTTCTGGTCTCTACTGCTCCCTCACTGTAGAAGAGACTGACTGTAGCTTCTGTTTTTGGGAGTCATTCCCCACCCAGGAGAGCAATGACTGATCTCACAGTGAAGGCCCTTCCCTCTGCACCTTACAAAGGCAGAGGGAAGTTAAAAACAAAGCATGTGTGTATTATATTTTTAACAGCTGCTCAGACACCTATGCCCAGCACCTCTTCCTAGCAGTAACAAAGCAAACAAATAGGAAATTATGGCTTGTCATGTTGTTAAGAGGGGAAAGATGAACAGAAAACAACTATCAATGGGAGATAAAGTGGGTGTCAGGTAGAAAGTGATAGATCCAGTCCAGCTAAGTAAGCATTCAGAGATAAGTGACCTTAGTGGACCAGGAATACTGTCCTGCAATGCCAGGGAGCCAGTTGATCCACTGACAATTACCATCTGTATCTTCCATCATTGCTCATCAGATCATCAAGCTACTAAAAAGCCCTGCTACATGGAAAGGATCCTGTCCTGGCCAAGCTTTGAAGAAAGGTTTTGAATGCTGAGCCCATTCTTCAGCCAGGGTACGTGCAGGCATCCAGTTTTTTTTCCCAACAATTCTATCTCAGCCATGTTTCCAAAGAAAGGCAGACAGGCAATAAAGCAGCCTCCCAGGCTCTTCCAGTTACCCAAAATAACACAGAATAAAACCCTTGGTAAAATAAGTATAGTGAGGGAAATTCCCTCAACAACATTGTAGGCCTCTTGAGAGTCCCAAGGTGAGATAAGAAGAGATGGGCTCTCATTCTTTACCAACCTGGAAGTTCTCTGTCCTTGAATGGATCATCAATCTCTGTACTCTTTGATCTGGCATCACTTTCACACACTGGAGTCTCATAGCTGGAAAAGAATAGAAGATGCTAAACTATGTGATATGCCTTCAGTATCATCGGATGGTTGCTAAGGGGTCATCTTATCACAACAGGGGAAAAAATAAACCTGCAGCAGAAATATTCTCAGTCATACGTCTGTTTATGGACAGCCAGCAGCAGCAGTAGCAAGCAGAGAGAGGAGTGGGAACATGCTGTGAAACCCAGGAGCAGCTTAAACCCACAGACAGCAAAAGGCCCTCTTCCAACTCTTGTGGGCACAGATAGAGCTTTTTTTCAAAACTGTCCATGTTCTGCAAGATCACTGTGCTGTGCAGAGTTTTAAGTCCCAGCCCCTACTGGACTGTTTCTGTAGCTTTCCAGAACCACAATCTGTTCCCGGATCCCAAATGATAAAATATTCCAAAGGAAATTTTAAGATCCAAGGCAGCTGAAAAGCTAAATTTACCTTTTGCTTAAAATCTATCAATATGGAACTGGGAAATGCTCTAAATCTGTTCTGGCCAGGATCTAAGTGGCTGCAGGATGGAAACGTAGAGCAGAGGATAATGCAACACAGACACTTCTGTTTCTGCCCCTCGTAACACGAGCCTGTATTTTGAGCAAAGGACTGGTGCCTGCTACCACCAGAAAGCTGCACGCCAGAAAAAAAAAAAAAAAAAAGCAGTTTTATATAATACTTCTCTGGGAGAAAAGCAGTTACTGTGTACCAACTCCTACAAAGGACACTCAAATATGGTACATCACATTGCTAGCTCTAGGGAAGGTAGCTCAGAGCACACTGCCCAAGAAATACCAACTTATCTGATATAGCAGCACTATTTTTCACAGCTCATCTCCCCCAGGCAGGCATCCCACCAGGCTTACAGCTCTTACCGAGTGGAAGTACCGGGCAGGGGGCGTCCAGTGTCCACCAGGACGCACCAGCAGTATCCAGTGGACTGGTGGCACTGCACTGGTTTGTAGAGCCCTCCTGGCGCACACTCGGGGATGACGATACCCTCACGGGGGTTCTGCCTGGCCTCCTCCAGGGCACTCTGTCTTTCCTGGTCGCAGGAGTGAACTTTCTCTGAAAGACAGGAAGGAGATGGAGGTGTATAGAGAAAAAACGTCAAATACAGATCACCTTCCTCAGCTCAGCAGGTCAGGAATATCCTCCACAGCAGACCTTAGTGTGCTTTCTACCCAATAAACACCAGTATTCCTATACCCTAGAGCACGAGAGATTTCAGGGCTGAGAACTTCTTCCTACAATCAGAGACGAGGTACAAGATTATGGATTCGAGATGCTGTTTGATGCGTGTCCAGCAAACCAGGAAGAGCAAGAAATTGCAGCCTCTGGGTAAGTTTTTGCAGGTGATATTTTTGCATACTTGGAGGTCCTCACTTGTGACACATGGCTTTCAGTTACACAAAGATGCCAGTAGCCATGCCCTGCTCCCACCACCTATTTATCCAGAATGCACAGTGCATTCTTCTATCTCATTTAGCATCCTGGAAGGCTGTTAAATGAGATAGGGCTGCATGTGCCCAAGAGAAGAAGAAAGTTATATTTTAACACCACTTTATCAAGTACATGGGATAATATTTCACAGGAATATATATATATCTCAATAGCCAGAAGCTCTCAATAAGAAGTCTTCAAACATTCTGGTCTTTTACAGAGAAGGAAAACAACTTCACCTTTGAAAAGCAGAGAAGATATCAGAGAAAGGAAAAAAACATGCATGTAGGAGAGAAAGAAGTCAATGCTGATGATCACAGGATTAAAACATATGAAATCTAGGGTAAAAAAAAAAAAAAAGAAAAAAGAAAAGACAACCGCTGACTTTAATCATTAAGAAAGTGATGAAAGCCAGAAGTGGTAACAGTTCTGTCCTTCCCCAGCTTTCTTCTTCCCTTCTGGTTTACTCTGGTTTTTGTTATTTTGTTGTTGTTTTAATTTGAAATAAGCCAACGCCAGGAGCTATCTCCCACTCTCAATACACAAAATGCTTCAGCACTGCCAGGCAGTGATGCCAGGGGTTCATCCCAAACCTGCAGTTGTTCCCCTGCATTACCTAAGCATCCTACCCCAGGACAGGCTTAGCACAGACCCAGCAACACTCGCTGTCTCCCTGTATTTTGCCTGCCTGTCTGCACTCCATCGGCTCCATCTTATATTTTGGCCACAAACGCCAGGACAGGCAGCAGGTGTCACACACAAATGGCAGCAGTTCTGCACTGCCTGAGCGCACCGTGATCTGGGTACCAGACTGAACTGTAGCAGCTAACACAACGAGTCTCAAAGACACAGAGTGGTCTCCCTCTCCTCAGCGTGTCAGGAATATAAAGGGCACCTCAACTCTGTCATACACAAATCCGTACGACCGAAACGCAGACTAAAAACTTCTAAGTGTTGGCAAGTCTGACTCAAGCAGAGAGAAACCTGATCAGGAAAGAGCAGGAGGGGGATAAAGTCAACAAATAGTGAAAGGGAGCTCAAGCCTCAGCTGATATTTAAGCTGACTTCATTTTGCTGACAGATTTCACATCTGAAAAAAAGGCCCCGTGACTGTTCCCAAGCTGTGCCTGGACAGAGAACGCATTGAGCAGAGGGCTGCAGGCTCCCCAGCAAAGCACTCAGAGCACAGGGCCCCGCGTCTGCGGGCTGCCTGATGGCAATTTGCACCTCGGTTCGCTGCTAAGGAGGAGTGTCCACGCAGCCAGGACTGACTGTCATCGTTTCATGTAATAAGCAGAACAAAACAAAAACACCTCCTACTGAATAGATGCAGATTCCAGAAATTCTTCTATCTAAATCCCGAAACTTCCTGAGAGCACACACTGAAACTAAGATCTCTCAAGCCCTCTGAGTCTTGCACAACTAGCGCTAAAAATGGCTCTGGATAAAAATATCAACATTTTGTGTGTATGTGTTGGGACAAAATGTGTCACTTTTATTGAAATGAATAAAGAAAAAGGAAAGAAAGTAGTCTCTTTTAATGAGTTAGTACTTTATACTACATATATATTTCCAGTGAGCTATGTAAACTACACAGAGAATAAATGTACAAACTTAAACAGACGTTTTTGTACTATGCCATAAAAATGGCAAGAATTTGTCTGCGCATATTAAAATAAATGTGTGGGAATGGAAGTCAGGGCATTATCTTCCAGAATACAGAAGATAATTGCCAGCCACTCCTTTTTGAAAGGTGTTCAAAGGCTAAATGCAACGCATCTTGCTGGTATTGTTCAGCTGACATCAAACAGATGTAACAATGCAAAACCCATCACCATCATCAGTTTCCAGTGGTCCATTGCTAGCAACCATACCACCACAGCTGAAGTAGCAGAGAGATCGGTTTTTTTGCTTTGCTAGCATGCATATGGAAGTAGTCACTATGAAAGTTTCATCTATTCCACCGCACCCTGAAGAACAGAAAACAGCCATGCTGTGGCAAACCAAGGGCCCAACTTGTTACTATCTCATCTACAATGTGGCCAAAAGTAGGCACTTAAGAGGATATCAAAGAAACAGGACAAGCATAGAGTTATTTCTCCTATATATTCTTCCAGTCTCAACCATTTGTGCATCAGAAACTTGCAGAAAGAGAGGGACTTTGCATTTAGAAAGTAGCTATAATTTTTTGCTTCCACGAGTTTCCCACATCCCTCCTCATAAACTTTTACTGACTATGACACCCCGCAGCTAGCTTTTGGCTCAACTGCATATTGTGTGTGGAACACAGCACATACTTTGGTGTGATTTAAACCTGGCTCCAACCAGTTTTGTTTGCCGACCCTGGCTCTTCTGAAGGATGAGACAGTGAACAACCAGTTGCAGTCTCTCCCTCCCTGCCTCTCACCGCTTTATGGATTCCTGCTTCATGTCTTTTACATGCTGAAGAGTCCCAGCTGACCTAGTTGCTCCTTCTCTGAACCTTTTCCAGATCTACTCTATCTTCCCTAAGCCAGAGGGGATCAAAACTGCAAATACATTGACATTAAACGGTGGCTCTGACAACAGCTTCATGGAAAGTTCCTTTGGTGCCATATGTCTAACAGGCAGAAGACAGAATTAACTAGCACTAGCCCCTGGAGAGGTTCTTTCCTCCAAGCTATCACTCTAACAGCACTTAATTCCTTTAAAAACAAACATGAGTATTAATAGCAAGGGTATATTCCAACAGCCAGCAAAATCAGCTGGGAAATCCATAGCATCAGCTTCCCCAGCATGGGACCTGGCATGAACCACACACATTGTCACCCTAAAGACAGCCTCACTGGTAATAAAGGAACCATCGAATGCTACCCTGGCTCCAGCACACTGAAGTCAGCCCATTCCAGTCAGACTGCTTACTGGAATCTTTGTTGTTTCCAAGGCCAAGTTTATGGAGGATAAGTAAAGCCTACGGCCAAGCCAGATTTAATGCCAGGTATGAAATTAAAATACCATCTCACAATGCAGGATATCTTTATTGCATGTGCAGGGTACTTACGCCCTGTTTGAGTTAATGGTTGCAGACATAGAAAGATACAGAGAAAAGGCTTTCTTTCTTTCCTTCCCTACGTTAACAGAGAGAGGAACATTTAAGACAGCAAGTCAGTGTGAGACAAACAGCTTTTCCAGAACCAACAATAACATTACACTTTTTTTTTTTTAAAGGCACTGTCACATTCCCTTTTTTCCTGCCATCCCTGCTTTAACTTATGACAGCCATCAGCCAAGCGGCTGAGTAGAACTCACCAGCTTGCTCATGCTGGGCTACAAAACCTTTGACTGACAACAAATCCACTTTACAACAAATCCAATGACAGTGAAATAAAGATAGGGAATACATGCACGCACAAAAGAGAGAATCACTGCAAAAATAACCATTTTACTTTAACAGTTCAGCTCTAAAATGCTAACTTGCTGCTTCTTATCCTTGGCTTCTTCTAACACTCCTAGAAACATGACTAAAAGTAGCATCTCTGAAGCCACGAGCTACTGCAGGAAAGCAAAGCTTGGACATCTGTAGACTCAGTTATTTACACAATCATTTTCTTCCAGTAATGGTTTTCAGAGAAATACATGGTCAGATTCATAAAATGGCCTCTCAGGCCTGGTCCCTTAAGTAGACACGTTCAAGAATATATCTAGTGTCTGCACAATAAATAAAAATGATGGATGAGGTAAGGGACTCACCTGTCTGTCTAATAAACAAGATGCTTATTAAAAGGATGGGGTGTTTGTTTACCTTACAGAGTTAGAAGGGAGGATGTCTAGCAGTACTGAACCCAAGGCTTGTACTTGACAGCTCTCATGCTCAGCCTGCAGGGCTGGCTGCAGCTGAAGCACTGCTCCGGGTCCAGGCAGCTCCCAGCTGCCCGAGCCCATTGCTGGCGGAGGCAAAAGACCAAACTCTGATCCCAGGGCTGCAAGATGCTGGAGATGGTTAGGGTGGGACACAAGGAAGATTTACCACTCAACCACAGTTATTTTTTGAATATTGATCATCTGTAGTCAATTTATTATTATTAAAAAAAAAGAGAGAGAGAGAGTAGCTACAGCACTGGAACCAACTACCTTGGAGAGATCTCTACATCATCCTTAAGAAACAGGAGTCCTCCTTCCAACAGAGGCAAAACAGAGGGTGTAACCTCCCTCCATGCTTCTCTCCACCCCTAATGAACCTCTGTGAATAGCCTAACTCAGAGCTGCTGGCTACTCTGCAAACAGGGCAGACCTACATCCCTTTTCCTCTCTCTCTTCTTTTGACCACAAATTCCATCTGGACCAGAGAAACTTTTCCCATGGAGTTCCCACAAAAAGCTTCAGTTTTCATGAAGGAGCATTCATCAGAAGGGGAGGACAAGGTCTTTTACTGAAAGATTCTTGACCAGCCCCTATTGTTAGCACAGCAGTAGAGACCTGACTTCAAAATCCGGTTTCAAAAAAATCACACACATATCTCTCCCAAATTTCTTTTGTTCAACTTTGAGTCCCTCCCGCATCAGGAACTAGTGTAGTACAGAATAAAAGGCAGCACTAGGGACATCTAGTGCCAAGTTCCTATTCACATCCTGTACCAACCCAAAAGC